TATAGGACTCCGATTCAGGACTCTTCGATCTTTAAGGATATCGTTCTCCAACAGAAGGGCGCTTTCTGAGCTATTCAGTACATCATTATCCAACAGTGTTTACGAAGTTATTCGGTGAAATGATTATAAGAAAAACGAAAATCCTTTTATAATATACATTTTCAAGACTTTAAAGGCCTAAAATATAGGAATGCATTAGTCTTGCATTAAAATAAATTAACAAAATTGAACAAAATCCATACTTTATTTAAAATAATAAGAGATTTCCATATTACATTCTTGCTTTGTAAACAATAGGACGTTCGATAACTGTGTTCTGAATAACGTTTGTGACGTCATTTCGGTTTGGTTTCGAATACTACTGACGTTCGATTCAGATGTCAATAGAAATGAAAATAAATCGTATGGTCATATCTAATCGAATCAATCGACAACTGAGTCGTCGTAAGGTTCTGAATCGACCCTCAGGTCACAGCTTACTGAAATGGTAAAGTCGTCCAATCAACCCGGGCCCTAAGGCTGTTGTGGGCCCCTTCGACGACCTACACTTGAATGAGGATTATTTAGGACTGTAGAGAACGTGCCTGGTTGAGAATTCTTCCTGAGCTTCTTGTTCTTGCTTGGATCGCGGTCAGATTTGGAATGCCGTCCCACTGCCAACGCTCCGTCTTTTATATTATTGTTAGCCTGCCGTACCGCTAAGTGTGCGAGCGGGACGGGAGAACTATAAAGATTCCAAGCAAGACCCGCCTGCCTCTCATTTATTTACTAAAATTGTACTTAACATAATAAGAACTTAACATAACTAATATGTACAACAGTAACAAATCACAATCTTATAAATTACACAATAAATCACTTGGGCGCGAACACGTTTTTCGTCCTGAACAGCTGTGAACGGTCATTATAATATATTGAGACTACATTGAGTTTATATTGCAATTATGATAATATTTGTAATTCTGCTAAAATCTAGTTGCAATGACAGTTGAGTAGATAGTGTCAGTGGAAAGGCAGTGATGGCATTCATTCATTTTATTTAAATGTACAACCTGACATTGTAATTAAATTTATTTGTGTGAATTTTCTTGGTTGATCTGATCGTTCAAATCTTTTGGGCGCTGATTGTACATTGCAAACCATTTTGTGATCCACGTATAATACTAGTACATATATTAATAAATAATGTTAATAAAATGTGATAAACGATATTTATTTAACTACATATCAACGCCGTAGAGTGAACCATTATTAATTTTTAAATAGGCGAGAGGACTTGAATCTTGACACGTTGCACCGTACTTATTGTTGGCTACATAGGGTTGAATTTAAATTTTAAGTGTCAACATACAGTCCCGGACACAATTCTTATGAAATTCAAATCTTCGAGGTTCTTAATTTGACTGTTTTTTTTTTGTATGTATGTTACGCTATAACTTCGGGATTTTTGGACCGATTTTGATGATTCTTTTTTTTGTTGGAAAAAGGGTGCCCCAGTATTGGTCCCATTTAAATTTGAAGGAAATATTCCACCTCTAATGGTGGCAAACTGGGGGATGAATCTGGTTTCGCGCACTTTCCAGTAACCGATTACAATAAAACTTGGCAAATAGATGTAATTTCACGAACTTTTGAGGTCGGGTTTTTTATAATTTTATCCTTGATTCAACTGCCTCTGTGGCTGAACGGTCCAGGGTTTGATGCCGAGAGAAATATTTGTTTGACCTACATTTATCTATAGAAACAGAAACCATTTATTGCAACGCCACATTATAAAAAAAAACACAAAAGACGACTAATATAACTAGAACAGAAATAACACAAAAAACAGCGTAAAACATTTAAACAACAAGTTATATAATACTATACTGACACGTGTGCGGCTGTGGCATGTACAAAAGGATGCCATTCAGCTAAAGTCACAACCAAGACTAGGCTGTGACGCTTGTGACGCGTGACGGTTTTTCAATGAGCCCTAGCCGAGTGAGTGGGAGTAACTATTTAACTATTATGTAACTTGTAGTTATCTATCTATGTATGTGTCCATTGCACCATTTAATAATTTTGTATGAATAATACTTTAAGAAGAAAAATGCGAGGTGGCTCCAATCACATGTCCGGCAGCGTATTCAACATGGCTCTCTAAACGAGTTAAGTTTTGTATAACTGTACTTAAGTACTTTGGAAACTAATTTACTGTTTGCCGTCGTCTTAAAGTGAACCACGTATGTGTTTTCTATGTAATTTTTCACGAAGAATTTTTTTTTAGAACGAAGATAAAAATGTGGTGTAAAATGTAATAAATGCAATAATGTTTGTAGTTAGCATTTTAATTAGTTAAATTATACCACTTTCAGATACTATATTACTTTAATAATATATTTTAGCAAGAAGTTTATAAGTTTTACATTAACAAAAATCAGTTAAGACGAAGTATGTGAAAACACGTGTGGGAGGTTTTCACTCTAAGGCGACGTTATGTGATTTTTATTATCGATTCTTATTAACATACTTTGTAAGGGCTATTTTTCTTAAACTCTTAAACAATGTGTCGTTGGTTTACGAGTAAAACAAATTCTATTTTAATTAGTTTTTTAGTTTTAGAATAAACAAATAAATTAATTGAAAAGTATTTAAATTTTTATTGAATTAATATTCAATTATTTTTATGTGAAATGACTCCAATCATCGATTGTATCTATGGAGCTATAACATTATAAAGAAGAAAATCTTTGTTATTAATAATTATTAAAAAAAAAATAGAAAGAATAAGTAATTTAAAACATAACAGAAATGATTAATGTCTAATAACAATACAAAAAAAACTTTGGTTCATTTATTAGTTATGTTAGATAAATGTGTGCTATAAAGAAGAATATTTATAGAGTTCTTAGGTTTTTCGCGATTGTTATTTTTACACAAAATTATCAAAAAATTAGTTACATGTACCAAACGGTTCGTAAAGTCTAACCTCTTAGATCAGCGAAAAAATCCAACATATAAACATAAATAAATATCTCTGGAGTTACATGACATTATAAGTTTTGAAAATAAAACAGTGAGAAACACTTAGCGCCCAGTTACACGAGGAGTAAGCTTCCGCATGGTAGATTTCTTCAGAGGAATTTAAATGTTGTTGCATAGTAAATAGAATTCAGATTCGTCATTAATGTACATGAAGTATTGACTTACAAATAAATGGACGACGGGTCTAATACAAAAACCAC